TGTAGTCCCTGGAAGTTGATTCGGTATTATGATTCGAATGAAATCAAAACACTTGAGTATGATATTATCGTATATTACATACCTCACTAGGCACCGATCTAAAACCCTCACACAACAACACCAAGATAAAAGTCATCAAACAACTGCACACAATCCTCTCTATACATCCTCCTCCTCCTTCATCCTCTCCGCTTGCCTTCCAACCAACCTGACATACCCAGCATCATATGCCCCCCTAATAGTCGCCCACCCCAGAGAATAATACAACAACCCCAACAGCGCAATAGCATACCCCACCATCTGAAGCGGAGTGATCTGCGTGCCCCAGATCACCACAGAACAGACAATCAACAGGATGTTCTTCGGCACACTAACCAGTGTCATGGTCAAACCGGATGTCTTTCCGATCTATACATATTCATACTCATTAGCATCCACGCACATTCACCACCTGACCACCAACCAGAAAGGAAGGAAATATACATACCAAAACAAAAATCGACACATTCAACATGAACCCCACCGTAGCGTTCGCAACCAAAACCCCGACCCCAGTCTCCCCAATCACACTCCAACTGAACCCGCGCAGCTCAGTATAAAACGCAATCATGAAGTTGGTGAAGGCGCACACCGGTGCAGAATAGTACAAAGTCACAAGGGGGTCCATTTTCTGGCCCTCGTCTGACAGCAGGATCTGGATCATGACAAGACGGTTGGCGTCGAAGACAAGACTGGCGAGTTGGTAGGTGACGCCGAGCCAGGAGAATTGGACTTCGCCGGCGACAGCGAGGGCGACACTGAAGGCGATGAGGAGGATGTTGAGGAAGGATTCGAGCGAGGGGGTTTTGACGTGCCAGGCCCAGCTGGTGAGGAGGGTCACTATTGGGCCGCATGCCTGTTTTGCTTTCCTTAGTATTTGAATTGTATATTGGGGGTTGAAGAATAGTGAATGGTGGGGGTGGGCTTACTTTGAGCATCTGGATAAAGGAAACATTCAAGTAGAGGTAGACGATGTTGCTGCAGACGAGACTACCGCTGTAGAGAATGCCGATGGGAATGATCATGCGGACGTAGGTTCGGCCGTCCATGCGGATTTTCTTGCGACCATCGAGCATGGTGGTGGTTCGGGCAAGAAGTTGAGTGGCTAGGGTTGCGAAGACGAGATGCCATGTTGTTAGGATGATTGCTGCGGAGATGTGTCGGTGATTAGACTGTATTGATGGAATCGTTCACCTAATAGAGAGAGACTCACGGTACCCTGGGATACGTTAGTAGGAAGTTCATGCCCATAATGAGTACAGTGAAGTAGAGAGATTCACGTACGGAATTCAGTAGATTCAATAACCCATTTATTGAATAAAATGGTCAGATTCGACCAAAACACCCACGATCTACATCCAATGGTTAACGCTGGTTATTCTGGCTGACTGGTGACTACATACAGAATGCCCAGGGTAACAGGCCATACTGAAGCCTCCTTGGCCGGAAGATCCAGAATCGTCATTGTGAGGGACTCTCACGGGCCTTCTAGTTGACACAAAGTAATACGAGTAAACAGGGTCTCCAAAATGAGCTCGTAGTGGCCATTGGGGGCATTTCACTCCGTCAAAAGAACCATCTCACGGCTAAACCAGGATATATCTAGTACTAGTAGTAGTAGTAGATAGCGCTACTTTCCTTCTGCTAGGTACAGGCCTATTTCCATGGCACTGGCAACCACTGCAACCCCGGGAAAGTCTGGACCAAAAAATCAGGGTCTGGGGCTAAACGAAGGAGAGAGTGTGACCCTGGGACGTTTGCGGGTTTTGATGGGGTCCGTCCGTGGGAGGGAAGCTTGAGTGTAACCCTGTTCTGCATGGTCCATTCATTGCAACTGCACAGCTGCATCAGTCAAGCTTCAGCTGGTCCGTAGGCGGCCATTTAAAAGCTGCTTTGATTGGTCAGGGTGTACCAGGGGTCTGGCATGATGGGGATCTGATTGGTCTCCAGTGTCTTTGGGGGCGTTTTTGTAGCAGATCCACTGGCGGCTACTTACGAGGGACTAGACTAGGTTGTCGCGCGCGCATCCCATTTGCTACCTATCCGAGACCAAGAAAAACTCGGACGGCCTTGGGTAGATCAGGGGCCGGGTAGCAACCCGACTCTCTACACAGACGTTGTGGGTTTATTGGCTAACACTCGGGTTCAGGGACATGGTTTGGTGAATTTCGGAACGGAAGCTCCGGGGTGATCGTCGGAAAGGGTTTTAGTGTGAGACAGGGGCTGATGAATGACCGTAAGCTGAGCTGATTAATGATCTCTTCGGTCATGCTTACGTCGTTTGAGCTAGACTGTCCAACTACACCGAGCACTAGTAGGGATGGGGGAAATTGGATGAGCAAATAGCCAGGTGTTTGGTGGCAAACCTTGAAGGGGCAATCCAGCTACCCACCGGAAGCTCGAAAGAAGTTCAAACTGTATTGTGTAAAGTACTACTACTTACTAGTCGGGTAGGGCTGACGCTTGCGGACATCGGACCCATTGACCAATCAGAGCACGGAAACGGATGACAGTTCCGCTTTGGGGACGAACATCTTTGAGCAGATTTGATGAGTCACCCCTTCAGTCTTTGATTATGTTCACCGTCGAGACAGTGGCTTATAGTCTTCAAGTTGGAACTAGCATATCTCTCAGTGAAGAGTCCTGGTTTTGTATGACAATCAATCAGTAGAAGTGCCCAATACATGGCGTGGACTAGCTATATAATGGCCGTTATCTTCACCCAGATCCACACATTCCGATCAGCAGAACCATAAAAGCTTGAACCATCATTTAATCAAGAGAACTATCAATCTAGAATGATCAACCCACCACAGCAATCAATCTATTGTCCAGAAACCAGCATAACGAATTTACCTGACATCCATGCTTCCTCACCACGAATGCGTACAATATGTAATGAAATAACTCGGCCACTCATCCACATCAATCCACCGCTTACACTCATCCGGATTGAAGTCCGGGTTTCCCCATGCTGCCAGACATGCCGGATGCTTATCATCCGCCCAGCTATACGGATAGATCTGCTGTCGCGGTAGCACCACCATCTTATCAACTTTTGCCCCAACCTCTTCCTCACTGCCCTCCGGTCCACAGTACAAATCCCACGCAGGTGACCACCGCCGCACCGTTCGACACACATGCGTCCGCACAGAGCTATCCTTAAAGTCCTCGTAATACTTGTGTAGCATAGTACCGAGTGCCCCAGGCCCTGTGAGTGACTCGACAGATCCATCGCCATTCCCGTTGGGGTTCTCAATCACGTGGATCACAGGCAGGAGCCAAAAAGGGTGACCGGGGGGTGATGCCATCCAGCCATTCGGGACGGCGGCGGGGCCATCCAGTCCTTCTTTGTGTGCCATGTGGCCGACAAATCCGCGCTGCGTGCAGTCATGGTCGATCTTGCGCGGCCCTGAGGAGAGGATCTGATTGTGCCTGGCGAGGGTGGTAAAATGGCTGGTGAAGAGGGGCTCAACGGGTCGGAGAGCTTCTGTGTCGACGTCGGCGTACATTCTGTAGATCATTGTTGTCAGCTAACGCGAGGGTTATAGTTGCGGTGGTGACCTACCCTCCGAATAGATACATGTAGAGGTTGCGCACCACATCTGCTCGATGGATCTCCTTGGGGAGACGATTGTAATCCGTCAGGAACCAAGGGAAGTACTGTTCGACGAGCATCCGATTCGTCTCGTCATCCCAGAGTACATACTCCCAATCTGCATTTTGAGAGCGCATTGTCCGTACCCAGGTTTGGGCATCGTCGCTCATATTGCTACCGGCAGGAAACCACGTCTGATGGATAAGCTTAGGGATGGTGGTAAGGTCTTGAGAGAGCGGACGGGCGAGAAGGTCTCGTGCTGAAAGGGTGCGAGCATAGTGGTCTTTGAAGGGTGTCTCATAGTTCGTTGGGAGAACATCAAGATGGAAGAGGTAGGACAGGAGAAGAACAATGGCAAGAGCGAACGAGAGCTGAAATCGACGCCGGTTAAAATGGGATGTGAGCCATTGGAGGCAGGATCCTCGAGAAGATGATTGAAGTATCATCAGGGCGTTTTGGTAATGATTCTGAATAGTTGGGTAGTGGCCGGTCGAAAATGTAGTCTGGGGGTTGGTATAGTAGAGACCACCATGAAGATGTTCTCGCTTTTTCCCAGGTGGATTTTTGGACCAGGGTCAGGTAATATGGGACATGGTCCCATGTACAATGGCAGGGTGGGAATTAGTGGATCAACATTTTTCGTATTCAGTGATGGAGTCAAGCCGGACATGTCTTACTTGGTCCAGGTACTTCAGGGTCACATCCACTGGTGCTCCATTGCCGAAAACGTTCATCACACGAACACGATCCATTCGCACCTGCTGATCGACGGGGCAGGTGGCTTCTTTGAAAAATCAAAGAAATTGGGAAATCATCACGAGCGACCGGCAGAATGGGTAAGGAATTCAGCGAGCCATATTCTCCTTCTGATAGTTTCGATTGAGCATAAGGCTCGATCGATACTCTTATGAGACGCTGGAATTGGATTCTACTTGAGACTTAACACTTATTTCATCTTCTAAGCACGCTTTCATCCAAGTTTGTCTAAGTTATTGCAAGTAGAATGGTTTAATGCCACATTTTTTGTGAATAACGAAGAAGAATACAAAAAATTCAAGCACGAGCATATGTACCCCAATCCCACTCCCACTCTGATATTACCCATTTATTGCCTGCCAAATACACATTCAGATCTCATATCCATCATGATTGATGCCTTAGAATTATCTTCATGTACCTACAGAACGTCAGTCATATCAGAATCAACCATAAAGACAAGGTAACTCACAAGCTCATCCCCGTCAAAGCCATCAAAATACCCGCGACACTCTGCCGCAGAATCTCATGGTCACTCAGCACCCATCCCAACCCTACAATGACGCAGGTCTTGAGCTGTCCGATCACCGTGCTCGTAACCGGCCCGGCAGCATCAATAATATAGAACTGAGATAGGTTCACCAGACAAGCGAATATTCCACTCTGCAAAGCATACATCAGCCACTTTTCTATCTTAATCGATTGTCAGACAAAAAGCACATAAAAGTCAGCTTACCGCAAGTATCGAAGTCCACAACGACCCAGGGACAGCCGCAACCTCCGGAAACGTCTCCATCCATGGAACAACACACAATAGGACAGCAGCACTGACAGGGGCCTGATTAAGTAGAAGCTGCATACTGCTCATCTCCAGCTTCTTATGATACCGGCCCACCAGGACCGTGTACAGTGCACTAGCGCACACACCAGACAAAGCGAAGAAAATACCCTCTGGTGTCGTGGTATCGTTGCCTTTCGCGGACGGGAGCGAATCAAAGTAGGAGACAATTCCAACTCCCGTGCACAGTAGGACCAGGGGAAGGAACGCCGCTCTGGGGATGCTGGACTGGAACAGCGCAAAATTCAACAACGCCGTAGCAGGCGTAAGGAGCAACCGCGCCAGCTGGTGAAAGATCACCGACGAATAAGCCAGTGCCAGGTTCTGAAAGATGACCTGGATGCACATAGCCGCGACGAGGTGGAGGATGCGGTAGGGCGATACGTGCTTGGGTTCGAACCAGCCGCAGCATGGCCGCGATGCCAGCCATAGTGTGAGCCCGGTGATGGTGAAATGATAGGCGGCGAAGGATACTTGCGAGTTGCGGAAAGATGCATTGGAGAGGATGGATTTGTTGGTGAATACCTGCGTGTTTGTCAGTGACTATTATTCATGTTCAAGTTCAGCATGATAGGAACATACGATGGCAACAGTCGCAACAATATTGATTGTCATCCATACAAGAAGTCGAACACTCCCTATCTGCTTTTCCGGCTCCTCAGACAACACTTCAGGTCTCTTTTCGTCCTCGTACGAATAGTATCCCAACTCAAGCTTCACATCGTCCGATGGTGGTGGTGGTGGGCTTGCAGGAGTGCAAGTCACTGAAGTCAATAGACCCTTGCACTCATCATCCCGCAGATTCGATCCTGCAACAACCATGATGATAACCCAGGATAGTATACTTCGATTGATTCAGTGTATTGTGTTGCTTGCTAGAGGGCTGAGGCTCTGCAACAAACATAGCATAACATCCCCGGGCCCTAGAAGGTATGTATGCACCAGAAATCTCTATTTCAAGGAAAGGAACTCTACCACCACTCACTCCACTTTTCTCCCAATGACATATAACTTGGTTGGGTGGCGCTACAGGTCATGTCCAACAGGTTTACTCAATACATGATGTGTAGAGTGACCCAGAGGTTGTGGTACTAGAGGGAGAAACGCATTGAAACATCATGAGGCTCCACGACCCGGACTTGCGAGAGTGTGCTCTACCGTTTCAAAGGGCACATGATTGAAAAAGAAACCGGTCCAAAGGGACCCTCAATGTTACACTTTATAGTTACTTCTCGCACTCGTGATGTGCGCCAGGGGGGCGGGGAACCTGAATCGAGGCCGGAAACGGAAGTAAGATAGGGATGGTTGCGGGCGCTGGAATGTGGGTTCATACGGCTCCTGTAAACCTTGACAGAGGGGGGCCGGTTCCTGTTTCCGTCAGGGACTAGACTTCCTATGCTTAGGTTGTATATTCCGCGGAAATTGGGATCGGGTTTCTCTGTTCACTTGGTTGGGTCCTTGTGGTGGGAAGAAAGAGATCGGTTTGTTGTACGGGCCAGGTTCCATGGACTGCGCAGCAAGAGCGATCTGGCCCAGGCTCTTCTTATCATTTGGAAACATGAAAGCCACAGCTAAGGGTTAAACAAGGGACCGTACATTCTTGGATATAATTAATATAAGTCACACTAGCAAATATGTACCAACAAGTTCAAGAAACTAGATAACCCCTGGGGTACTCGAACTCCTTCCAATTCAACACGCGCCGCGACCAAGGAAAACCCTCATCATACTGCGCATATACGGTATCCCTACCAGCCACCAGTCGATGAATATTCAATCGGGTGCTGTACATGAGATTCCAGGCCTGTGCCTCGTGCCATTCGTCGCTGCCTTCACGGATGTCCGAATCCTTCGAAGCAAGACCGGCCGCCTTGTACGTCCCGATAATGTTGGGAAACGGCGCATAACACTCAATCTGCGAACGGCCATCCTTACCACCACACATATCAGCCATGGAGTTATCCACTGCAGCCACGAGTCGGTCGACCGCTAAGGCTGCTAGGATTCTCTCCGCGCCTCGCTTTGTCACCGCGTACCCATAGGTGCAGCAGCCCATATCGGCCCGATAAATGAAACGAGTCGATGTCTCAGGGTAATTCTCTTTCCATGAGTCGAGGGGGCCGCCCCATGTACCACGGTGATCAACACTGGGGGCAGTTGGGTCATGTGGGATGGCATAGAATTGAGTCTCGTTGGGAGCGGCAGATGAAGCGCATCCTCCCACCCAGAGGATGTCCCAGTTGGTGCCGTAGGGAGCGCTCTTGGTCGTATTAGCATTTCTGGTTAACGCGCGCACGCCTCGGGCAAATTCGCGGAGTTGCTGCCTAATGTTAACGTCCCAGTCTGCGTCGTCTTCAAGGATAAGCGCAGTCGAGTAGGAGTTTTGGACCATACTATATCGTGAGAATGTCAGCTTATATCAGTAGGGTTGCCGCATTGACAAAGGAGCAGACTGACTTGCTCAAAGCGTTCATATGAGCGCGCCAGCATCCAATCTCGGATGGTGCTAATAAGTTATCCTAAAACCGGTGTTACTTAGGCGCAAAGTCCTAGGCACAAAGCAGCATACGTTGAGCAGAGCCTTCTCGCTCATGTCCTCTGGATGTACCCCATCTATCCATTCAACCCGAAACCCGGCTATTGACGCAGCGAGGTTAAGGAAATCGCGCTTATCGGTTCGTTCTTTCAGCCCAATGGCATATATGTGTTCAAACTGTCGAAGACTATTAGCAGAACGTAACGGGCATCATCGAAAAATATGAATAAGAACAAACCCCAAGCGTCTCATTCTGAATATGCTCCAGCGCCCGATCCTCAAGCGTGGACCGCGCGATTCTCACCCAGTCCTGTTTCCAATACTTTCCCCCAGTGCCACTGAATAGAAGTGTGAGAATAATATAACTGGCGAATGCAGCGACAATGTATTTCGTAAACCTAGATTTCCCCCGAATCATGCTGAGAACTGGCACCAGTGGAAGATGGTCTATCAAGTGAAAGGAGACATTGAAGAAGGTGAACTATCTTGCATATCGCAAATTGATCACTTCTTGAGTCTTCTTGTGAACTTACTTGGTAATTATGGGTCACTATTTTGGGAATATAAGGTCTAACCTTAAGGAAGCAAAGCTGGACGTTTTGGGTTGTATCCACATTCTTTGTTCAGGAACGGCAGGTTGGTAGAAGCATCTTTCCCGAAAACGGGCATCGCCACTCCGGCATGGATACGAAGTAGTGGAGTTTTGAGGTGACCCGCAGCTAAGAAAGACTTTCTTCGAGGTTATGAACAAGGGACTGGTAGTGGCATTTATGCTTACTAGAGAGCGTGCTAGAATTGCGCGATCTGAACCGAAGGCAACCTTATTCGGAAGCTGCTCTTCACACATAAGATAGGCTGGCCATACTGAAACCACCACTTCCAAATTATTTCCTATACGTATCTTACTTCTCTTGGCCTTATATATATCCCTTTTTGAAAAGCTAGCCATTCAGGTAAAGGAATCTGTTATTCGCTTCGATCTCGGTAGTCCGAACTATGGGAATTGGGGTTCAGCCTTCTCTCCCTTACGTTAGAAATCATAGCCAAGTACCGCCAATACAATCGAGTGTCCAACTGCTTTCAAAACAGTAGCAGCAGTAGTAATAGACATGAATTCCTGCATGCTATTTGGGCGCATCTTAAATCTACGATCCCATCTACGCCTTTATCTTCGGCTGACGGATCATACAATACAGCTGTGCTCATTAGCCCACCCACACGGCGACATAAGAAACCTAACGTAGCTCACGTCTCACATACCTTGCATTTATCCTTGCCGTCCACACACTCAATCTCGCTGACCATCTCAAATCCCAACTTTTCATAGATCATCAGGTTCGGGAACCCCTTCGAACTTTCTAGGTAGCAAGGCATTCCCTCTCGATCAGCCTGTTGACTGACTACTTCAACCAATTTCCGTCCCAGACCCATTCCTCGCATCGAGGAGTCGACTGCGATCACATTGCAGAAGTAGTAGCCGCGGGGATCAGTCCAAACTCGGTCGTGAGTCTCCTGTTGCCGGGCTTTCCAGAGCCAGTAACGACGGACGTTAAGCCCCCCACGGCCACCGAACCGGATGTTGTTGTACAGCTGGCGGAAGGAGAGGATCCAGTCTTGCGCCCAGACGGACCAGGGGACAGGTTCGGACGGGGGTTGCGGGCTGTACCACCAGCAGACTCCAACGACGGGGGAGTCGGTGGGAATCTTATCGCTGGGGGTGTTGGTAGTGTATTTGGCCACGAAAATGGGCTCGTTGCAGGAAAGGCCGTAGAGGAAGTGTGCGGCGAGAGAGGCGGCGTTGCGGTGGATGTTGAACTGTTCATGACTTTGTTTAGTCTTGTTTATATGGTAGGGCTGAAACTAACAGAGCAGAGTAGGGAGCGGGACTCTACATGTAGAACTCTAGCTCAGACCGTACATCATTCGAGGAACCTGGTGTCACCAACCGAGATTGGAAGGCACTCGAACGGAGGGCTACTTACCCCAGATTTATTGTTGAATACCCAATGAAAATACGGGTCGTCGGCGAATGCTTTCTGGATGCATGCTACGGCCGAGGGGATGTCCTCCTTTGTGAGGGGAAGGATCTCGATGGCCATATTGGGTTTGTTTGTTTGCTTTTTCTCGTAATATGGATTGGGCTTGGATTGGATAAGATATTGAGTTTATGATGTATAATTCAGGAAACGTGTTCTGATAAGTGCATTCAATTCCTACTGGCTCTGCGAATAGGTTGCGAAAGGGCAATAGTATATGCGTGAGAATGACGACGGAGGGGATAAAGAGAGAGCGCCATCTATTGATGGGAGCCGAGATAGACGGACAGGTCGACAAGGGGATGCGCGGGTGAGTCGCGAGGACACCGACCAGATGGGGTCTTTGATGAAATGGCAATTAAGTCTGATTGATGGTGAAGAAGAAGGTGAAAGACGGACTGTGAGAGGGTATATTTATCTGGATTTCCTCTCCTTCATGCTGCCGCCCTCCCTTCGTTCCCAAATAGGCAAGTCCTACACCGACCCCGTGACAGCTCACGCTAACTTGCTTTGGTAGTTCGATGCGGCGCTGCCCGGCTCTGTTCTCCCCCTTCCCCACCAATCACATCTCCAAGATCGCCCACCATCGACGATCGCCAAGCCACTAGACGCGATTCGGCAGGTTGTGCCGGAGGATCAGCTGGCCGGCAGGGCTTATCGTATCATGGGGATAGCTTCATGGGGAAGCTGCCATCTGCCGACCCTACTGTAGCCGAGTGATGAGTTACAGCCGAGTACCTATAAACCTTATACTGGGTTATGAAAGGATACCTTGGGGAGATAAGACTATCAGATCTGACCCATCTTACGATAGCTGGGATATGGGTTATATCGATTGAAAGATAGCCACGTTTATATAATATAGAGCAGTTCTTGTTACACTATGGCAGAGAACGTATGCTGTTGGGTTCGTGAACAATCGTTTACGTGAATAGTCCTATGTACAAGCCGGATATGGTGAATTTTCACCTATAGTCTCATTTTGCTCCTGGTGAAGGTACCTTCTTTGCATTCTCTCTTTTTTCTTTTGCTCTTTATTTTAGCCTTCTAGAGAAATAAAAAAAACATTTCTATGACTAGTAAAACATCGAGGATTGAGCATAACAAGACTCAGTTATCTTCTGGGCTGATGACACTCAACATCTAGATACCCAAGGCGAGGGCCGGCCGGCCCACTTCCACTAGCGGGGACTATCCCCACCTGTCTACACTATTGCCGTACTTCGGTTACTGCAGTGGGCACCTTTCTCTCTGAGAGGCAAAGTCTCTCTCTTGACCTAACCGGCAATTGGATCAGTTCCGGTCAACCACATCGAATGAATTATACCTGTCAGGCCAAGTTGCCCCACCATCCAGGAGCATTGCAGGTGGATGTTCGGAGTAGATGTGGAGGTAGAGGTGGCTGAGGTGTTAGATTCAGAGCCAAGCACTTAGTGATTTTGGTATTTGAATGTCAGAACAGCTCGAAACATCTACAGAATACATGATCACACCTGCTATACTACATAAAGATCCTTAAGGCCTTAGATAAGATACCCTGGGACGCGGGAATCATCATCGATTTATTATTCAGTAGTAACAGCATGTAGCCACTTGTCAAGCATAATAATCCTGACACCACTATGATCAACTATCTACTTGGCGCGGGTCCGACGTTTTTTGTTGGTAGCGGTCCTGTCCGTGATGTCTTCATGCCCATCCTTTGTAGTTCGTCCTCCATGACGCCCTCGTTTGGTGCGCGCCTCCTTCCTTGTTGACGTTACTGGACTCTCCAAGGAATTATCTGCGGCTGGATCAACCAAGTAACCATCTACGCCAGTTGAATCCGGCTGTTCCACAGATGCAGCTTGCTGCCGGAGTCGACTAAATGCTTTCTCCATTCTTGTCTGGCCACCACTGCGAACACGTGGTGCAAAGGCACCCGCTCCTTGTGGACCGCTGAAGAAACTAGTAATATTCGATTGTGTGCCCTCCTGATCTCTGCGGTTCATGTCGCGAATTACGGGCACCAGGACCTCATCAGTGCGTTCTTGACTCCAGCCGATTGTTGACATAAGGAAGTCCCGCAGGCCATGTAAGTCGGGTACTCCCCACTGGAAGGGAGACGGGTCCGAGTCCACCTCTGGTTCCAGGTACGCGGCATCGACTCGGGGATCGGGGAAAGATGGTGGTAGGAAGATTTTAGTCGCATGCTTTTTGAACTTCTTGTAGAATGTTGCATGGCTATCGTTGCCCATGTTGAGTCCTGTTTGCACCTGAGTCCACCAATCACGGAAGTCTTCCAGGGTCCCGAATTCAGTGAGGATCTCTAGAGCAGTTACAGGCCCGATGCCGGGGATGCCCTCTGTGTAGTCGCTTCCTAATAGATGGGCAAGCCTGATGAGTTTGGTACGAAACAAAGAGTACTCTTTCTCCAGGTCGGTTGTGAGGTAGCATTCGACAAACTTGCTTTGGTTGAACATGTTTTTGTAAACGCGTGTTCCTCCGAATAAAAACACATCACTATCATCGGTGATGATACCATCAACAAGGCCGAGTGACACCAGTTCTGCACACTGGGCTTCAGCTTCCATAGGGGCCGTGATGTATGGAAGACCGAATAGCCTCAGCAACTGCTGGCATTCAGTAATCATGACTTGTGACACTTCGTCTGCATCTCTGCGGTCCTTCTTTTGCTGAGATCGCAATTGTCTCAGTTCTTGCTCGTAGTCAAATGGAAGTTCTGTGTGAGAAGTAGAGTTTAGTGTCGCTGCAAAGCGTACATGCTCTTCCCCTTCAGCCGCAAGCTGTTCGAGTAATTGCTCGTCTTCAGGATCTGAGAAAATTTCCTCATCATAATATTCCTCCACTTGATCTGATTGATCTAGTGCAATGGGTTCCGCGGGTACATTGTCGGGCTGCAAGACAACATCCTCGAACTCAGGCGAAGGCGACTTTTCGATATGCCTCAAATCTGGTTTATCATCAAAGGAGGTGTGTTTCGTCATAGAATGATTAGACGCATCCACTGGGACACTATCTCCCATGTGTGCCTCCAAAGCTTCGGCGTCCTTTGTCTCAGTAGCTTGTGCTTCGACAGGAGTTATTTCTGGTCTATTCTCGCGCTTGATTTGAACCTCTTGACTAACAACGTTCAGTTGAGGAGTTGGGTCCTCCAAGTCAATGAATGGCTTTGAGCCTTTTGAAGACTCTAAATTATGATCCTCCGTCGCGTCTTCATCGCCAACGATGAACACATGATCTGGTATGTTCTGCTCAGTAGGCGGCTTCGCCACTGGACGAAGATCAACCTCATCACTAACAAATTCAACATTTTTGACAGTTTGCGATGGCCCTGAGAACCACGGCGGCAGTGGCTGGTTATCCTTCGTCTTACTTGGTTCTTTGTCGGATGTTTTGGCGCCAGCGTCTTGTTCGGGTATTTGAGCACGATTGAGTGACTTTCCAGTTTTGAGCGGTTTAAGTGACTCAAAGGGTAGCGGACCATCGAAGGGATTATCTGCCACTTTGGACGGTGCTTTCTTTATTCTCTTAGACTGTGCTAAGGCGGCGACAAAGTCCATTCCTTCGTCATCACTATGATCCGTAACGTTTGCCGGGGCCTCATCGATAGTTGGAAGAGACATATGGTTCTGGTTAAGCTGAATTTCAGGTAGATCATCATTATTGATATCCCCTCCAGGTTCGAGTGACATCGCGATCGCTCGTTGAAGCGTTTCGTCATCATCATCTCCACTAATATCGAACAAAGTATCTGCAGTATGGCGGTTATGCTTCGATAGGAATTCATCCTGACCACCTTCCACGAAAAGGGAGTCTTCGTTGGCTGCCTGCAGCTCGGGGCCTCTCGTATTCAAGCTATCACGCATCTGATTCCTGTTTGGCTCATCGAAACCCCCTTTCTGGAGAAAAGGCAGCTTAGGGAGTCGGTTGAATCCTTCAATAGGTACATCTTCAAATCCTCCGTCATCGTCATTCGAATCATCCTCTTTATCTGGGAATATCAGCTGCTGACCATATTGGTCAGCATCGATAGGTTTATCTTCTTGACCTTCCTTATTTCCCACAACACCCAAAACCCAGCCACCTTCGATGGTATCGTCCTTCACTAAGACATACTCCTTCCCGCGTTCTCCGGCAATACGTTGTCCTGATTTGTACAGAGCATCTTCACCGTTCATGCCGTTAATATTCATCAGGCGCTGCGTTAAGTCATTGCGCTCCTTTACACGCTCGATTTGAAACTTCGAGAATGCCATTCTATCAGGAAACATGCTGTCTAGTTGCTCCTTTGAGTACCCCATCCGGAGACGGCTTCGGAGCCTGGCCGCATTGAGAATGTTGTACCGGTCCGTCGCCGGGAGACTGACGAAGAATGGGCTATC